TGGACACTGAGAATGGAAAGTCCCTGTAGCCATACCCTAAAGCCAGTTGAAGAGCGTGAACAAATGGAGCCCAGAGCCCAGGTGGTCCAGAGCCGTGCCACCTTCCCATCAGAGCCCGAGAGCAGCTCTGATTGCTTCTCAAAAGGGGAAACAAAGAAAYATGCATCTAGAACGCTCTTCTCGAGCCAGGCCCAGGTTGGTTTCATGGCTGCAGGTTTCTTCCTGATCATTTTTGCTCCCAGCTCAAAAGAAAAGGTGGTCTCTCCAGAGAAATCAGGGCAGGTGCATCTCAGTGTGAGGAGGGCCAGGTCGTGTGCTTGCAGAAAACCCACGCGGTCTTGGGCCCAGGGTGTTGGAGGAGAGGCTCTGGGAGGAGAGATGCAGCGTGTACGGTGGCTGGAGAGGGCCACCAGCCTCCAATGCCCCAGGGAGGGCCTCGAAGATGACAGGAGGGTTTCCCTGACATGAAGTTGGAACAGCTCGGAAGGACTTCCATGGGCTGAGAAGCCCATCTCTGTTTCTTACTGGCCCCAGGAACRTGGGGAAATTGCCAAACCTTCCTTCCTTGCTAATTCAGAAGTGGAGACCCCTTCCTGGTCCACATCATGGCTAGGACTGAAGGAGGAGTATGGAAAAGGGCTTTGGAAACCCAAGTGCTGAGTGAATGTAAGCGTCGTTGCCTTCGTGAAAACACAGCCTGTCTCTGCGGGGACATCTTGTGCTGTGTGGAAGAAAGTCCCAACACAGATGGAGAAAGACCAGAGATTGGCAGGAAGCAGGGAGGAGAAACCAGGCTAAGTGTGAAAGATTAAGACTGTTGAGACTGGAAGCCTGAGAACTCGGATCCAATTTGAAAATTCCTGCAAGCCGTCCAGACTCCTTGTTCGGCTGCCAGCTGCCRCCTTCCACTCAGCTCCGCCCGCCCGCTGCACCTCTGGGAGGCTCCCCAGCCAGGCCACCAGAGGCAAGAGCGAGCCCTCTCACCGCAGGACATTGACTTCCWCATCACACAAGAAGATCGCCCTGCGCAGGTTTGATGGCAGGCCTGTCTGTTGCCCGGGAACCGGAGGCGCGTGGTGACTGCCTGTAAGTGACTGGAGCAATCACTGCAGCTTAACACGTCCAGGGACAGTTCGAGGTTCCCCCTTTGTGCTTTGTGACACATTCCCCTCTCCTGGCTCTGCCTTCCACGTCACTGTCTTGATGACCATGATAACAGCAGAGATTGGCATCAACAACACCAGCACACACACAGAAGTCGGGTCCGAGTCATTCTTCCCAAGAGGTTGAACTTCCTACCCTGACAGTCTTGTCCCTCGTCCCTGGGGTGAGAGTTTCCCACAGCTACCTGTCCCCATCCAGTCCCAACTTGAGTTAGAATAACCCTYGTGGAGGCTTCTTCCCTAGATTTCTCTTTGCCTCATGAATTTGGGACTKCCAGAATCCGAGATTCTAGAATTCCCGAGTCCTAAGCCAGTCCTGTGCTGGGCCATCTGATTGTGTGGTGGAGTCCTGGCTGTGGCTTCTCAGATTCCAGGTCACCCCTGGAATGTGGAGGGCTGGCTGTAAGAATTCGTTGAATGAAAGCATCTCATTTTGCCCTTTCATGTTACAGCTCCCGGACTGGAGGCCCAGAGCAGCGAGTGGCATGCAAGGTCACATCCACAGAGAGGGCAGGTCTCTGGTGCAGACCAGCAGGATCCCAGTGCCAGGCAGGTGGCACTCTCCAACCAGGATGGTCAGCCAGAGGGAAGTTTAACACAGGACCCTCCCCAAGGCTGGGCTGGGTGTGGGGACACCACYGTGCTAATGCGGTTTCCTAGCAGCAGTTGGGAGTCATCGTGACCTCTAGACCTGAAGGAGCCTGGGGACAGGAAGCAGGAAGGGACTTCCAGGAGAGCAGAGGAACTAAGCCAGCRCTAGGCAACCTGGCTCCCTTCCCCACCTGCCCTCAGTCTCCCTGCAGGGCTCCCCATTGCTCAGACTCAACAGGAGGTCAGAGGAGGRGGGCACTGCATTGATGGAGAAGACAGGTCAGCCTCCTGGGCTGAGGCAGGTGGAAAGCGCAAGAAGAGGCTCTGTCTCGTATTGATTGATTACCACCCTCTGAGGTCCACTTGGGAGCCAGGAGTCATGTATAGGGCACTAGGCTCTGTCTCACTGCCCGCTAAGCCACTCCTGCCTGACCTCCCTCTATGACAGCTCTGTTCATGGGGTCTCCCRGAGTCAATCTTTGGGCATCTTGGTGATTTACCATGATACTGCCATGGGCTGGTGCTGCAGCTCATGAGGGGTCTGGTCCTTGGTTGCCAATAAGAGTCTGAGGGAAGAAATCCCAGGCTGGGTCTCTAAGAAGGGCTGGGGATGGAGRAGGCTGGGGAAGGGAAGGTGGGAGGGGAGAAAGGGCTTCTGGTGGGGCAGGTGCACCCTCTCCATGATCTCACAGGGCCAGCAGCCTTGGCCAGAGCTCCTTCCAGCAGGAGTTGAGTGACAGAAGGAAGCTGCCCAGCTCAGGAGGGCAACCCAAGGCAGGAGGTAGGAGCCGTGAGGCCAGTGCAGGCACAGGGCCCACTGATGCAGCCTCCGCGTCTGAGTGGGTCCCAGTGGCCACTGTGTGCCAGGGTCAGGTGTCCCAGGTCCCCCTACTCCCCTCGGAGAAGGGCAGGAGGACAAAGGTCTCTCCTGGGCCAGCAGGACCCAATAGCTCTGTAACTTGCCAGGTGGCTGTGCTGTTGAAATGTGGATCAGAATCAGCCAAGCTTCCAAACCCGCCCGGGACAAACATTCAGAACCCCAAGCTCATCATCTGGGAGTCCAGGGCRTGTTTAATTAATGCTGCTGCTATTTAAAGGACATACTATCATCTGGCCCACATGATGGGAATAAGTCCAAATTCATTTTTTAAAAAAGATCAATTATCTCTACCTCTGGGACATCCCCCCGATTCAGGCTGCAGTGGTCTGGATCTTGTCTCCCCGTCTTTTGCAAAGGGAGAGAATCACCTTGGAAAAGCCACTGGGGAGGTCTCCAGGCACCTCTCTGTGTGTGTTTGATGTTAAGTGGGAGCATCCMGAGTAGATCTGCTCTCCTACAGAGAGAAAAGACTTCACAAACATCTGTGAGTGCTTTTCTATTTTTAAGATTTGTGTGTTTTTAAAAATAGAGAGTACATTTGCATGGTTCAAATTCCAGAGTCCAGAACGTACACTGTGAACACACTCCCTCCTATCCCTGTCTCCTGTACCCTCTGAGCCCCTGTGGTATTTGATGAAATCTTCTGGGATTCATTTTTTTTTTTAATACACAGGCAAATACCAAATAGAATCATAGTTTTTCTTTTTTCATATAAAAGGTAGCCTATTTTTCAGAGGTGTATTACTTTGTAAATGATATTCTCCATAAGAAATCTGTACATAAACAAAGAATATATTTTTATGAAAGATTTTTCATTAAAACATTATCAAGTAAAATGCACATACGAGCTGATTATCCCTCACTGGGTAGAGCAGAGGGAGGAGTCAGGGGAGGGAGGAGGAGAAGGAAGGTGGACATGCTGGGGAGTGAAATTGATCAAGTCATGTTATGTGCATGTATGACGAATATGTCACAATGAATCCAATATTGTCTATAATTGTAATGCACCAATAAATTTTAAAAAAGAAGATGCCTGGGGCTGGAAGTGTTTTGGGTTTTTGGATTCTGGAATATTTGAGCATACATAGTAAGACCCTCTGGGAATGGGGCCCAAGTCTGGACATGAAATTCACTTATAGTTCAGATGGGTCTTATACCCACAGCCCAAAGGTAATTTTATATGATATTTTTAATGTACCTGCATTTTGACTGTGACTCATCATAGGAGGTCACGTGTAGAATTGTCCATCTGTCATGTCAATTCCTTGAAAAGTTTTGGATTTCGGAGCATTTTGGATTTCTGGTTTGGGGTTTCTACTTGCTCTGGCCTCCTGGCTGCACCATGTAGGCAGCAGGCCCACCAAGAACTGGGCACTGACAGGACTTAGAGTCACTATCTTCACTGCTGGAAGAAGGGTACAAGACACGCCCTCCTACCAGGGGTGTCAAGGCCAATGAGCACAGCGCAGTCTCTCAGAGAGCCCCCGTCTGCCTGTCTCCCCTGCCAGCCGGAGAGGAAGGCGGATGGAGGCAGCGTGCTCACAGGAGAAAGGGAGCGAGGCCCAGCACATCTGTACAGAAGTGTGGCAGTGGAGAGCGGCTCGGGAAGCCTGAGAGGTCACACAATCCCAAGGAGTTCGGGGGCTCTGGTCCCCACGTGTATCTGGGGAGCTTCAGGAAAGGCTATACTGAAAGGCCGCACTTGGGGTCACCCAGCCATAGCTCCAACAGCAGCCAGAGRCCCTACCTGAGGCTCTGTGTGGTTTCTCTGAGGGGTTTGGTCCCACCCACTCC